TTTATTTAAGATGTATTTTTGATTTTATTTTAATAATTCTTTTGAATTTCTTTAGGATTTCTTCATGCTTCTTTTGAATTTTTTTTGAAGTTTATTTAGATTGATTAAAGCTTGATTAGTATTATTAAGATTTAATTGGATTTATTTAAGATTCTATTAAAATTAGAATCTTATTATTGCAATTCTCCTTCTACCTTCTACAGCCAAGTATTCAATGCATTCTCAAGCAAGGCTTCATGAAATACAACAACGTTGCTATATAGATTCTAGATAGATAATATATATAGAAACAAGAGTAAAGCCTTTTTCATTCTTGTCAATTCCTTTCTTGCTTCTAGTTTAGTTTTAAGAGCTTTTAATTTCCTTGTCTTTTGGAAATAGCCATTGCCGTTTCTTTTTTAATATACATACTTCTCTATTTCTATTTTATCATATTTCTTTGAGAGAGTTTCACTTATTTATTTGCTTTCATCAAGTTCTTATCCTTGACAATAATGTGCTTAAGTTCTCCTTAATATAAGCATAAATCTTCTTAATGGTGTTGTTGTATTATGATTCGGCTACCATGTGAAAATAATGCATATATATATAAATATATATATATATATATATATATATATATATATATAATTTATCATACTATGTAGTGAAAGCTATGTTATTAGATTTTAGTTGATTACAAAATATGATTAGATTACTACTTTGAAGTAGTTAGTTTTAAAGGGCTATTATTGACATTTATTTTATCTTAATAATAGTTTTTATATATTTAGAATCATCTTTATTAGACATTGGTGACTTTTGAAATCTTATTTTGTTTCTTTTATTTGGTATTTAAGGCATATATTATGTAAATATTATAAGAAAAAGAATTGGAGAGGGATTTTGGTAGCAAAAAGAGTAGAGTAGATATTTATATAGATGAGTAGAAATCAATGATGAAAATTTCTATTACTATTGGCCAAAAAGCATATTCAATGGACTTCAAGGAGGCTGCCCAATGCCTTATTAGGAATTAGGATTACTCTTTTGAGACCATTTGAATTAAAGAGGCAAGGATTATGAATTTTAGGTTTTTTGCTATGGTTTTGGTGCAAATTTTGTGTGATTTGGAGTTTTTTTGAAAGAGATATAGGTGCTCAAAGTTAAGATGTTGGTTTTATGTCAATATCATTCTTTAGGACATAACACATGCATATAAAAAGCAATGAAGGATCGGTAAAAAACATTGAAGAGATCTCTTTCTTGACTATACTTTTCATATACTTATTAATGAGTTCTAAGCCAGGATCAAAGAGATATAGGAGGTTGAATTCAATACTTGCAATCTAAAGGCAATAAGTGACCTAATTTACTAGTGGTTGTATTTTGAGCTATATCTTAAGTAATTTGACAAGATTTTGGGTAAAAAATATCAAAAATGTGTATTATTATATTACTAAACTTTTTATTCAAATTTTTTATGATTTAAATCTTGGATTTTTGAGATATAAAGAAAATAGTATTCAAATATTTGTAAATTAGGAATTATAGCACCTGCTAGGATTTCTAAGATGCCAAATGATATGTAGTAGATTTATGGTTTGTTTTTTTTTGTGGTAAAGTTTAAGGATAAATTCTACATTATCTAGAAATTTGAGATAAATTAAGGAGTTGAATTATGACATATGAATTTCTAGATTTTAGAGAAAAAAAAGTCTTTTGAAAGGATTTTGCTACAATTTGGGCATTTTTTACAAAATAAAGTGGATTTTGGAAGTCAAGACTTTATATTCATGTTAAAGATAGAGATATAGAGCTATGAAAAAATTATGATATAAAGATAGATTTTCTTAAGAAGATTATAGATTTTCTTTGAACTTATTGAAAATCAAGCATTCCAACAAATGAATTAATTATGACTTAATATAACAAAGGATGTTAGGGCATTTTTAGATGCTTTAAAAGCCTTATATATAAAGCTTCTTAAATATAAAAAGATTTTATTAGTAGAATAACTTTTGATAATATTATATTTATTTGGCCTCTATAATAAGAATACATCATTTATTGAAACTTGTCCAATAAGTTAAAACTAAACTCTTTAGAAGTAGGTACCCAATGTATATTCAAATAGAAAATCACACCACAAAATTGCGTTAATTTTTTTTAATTCAATAAGAAGCTTAAAATGTACCTTATCAATTTCCATAGGTTTTGATCTTGATTAATAAGCTTCTATGAACTTAAAGGCTATTCCTATGGCTTGATTTGTACCTTTTTAATCAAATCTTTATTCTTAGCATCTTTCAAAAAATCAATTATTGTATATAATGGTTTGAGCAATAAATTTCTCTAATGAACTTACTTTTGGTATTGTTAATAGTAAATCTTTGATGTTATCTCTTAATCTATATTGAAATTGATTGATAAGGATTTTGACATTTCAATCTATATAGTAAGTAAGATTTTAGAATTTTGTAGCATATATGATGTTTGATTATGATCTTTGTTGCAATAATATAAGTTTAGTCTCTACAATCTTTTCTTAATCACTTTTTCCAAAAGTAGCCATACATACTTCTAAGAATGAATTTAAATCATAAAAAATATATTAATTTTTTTCTATCAAAGATGCAAATTAAGAAAGAGCATTCCTATAAATATAATTTGAATAAATCTAGCAATGTATTGAGAAAGATGCAACTTTAGAGAGAATTTTATTTATCGTAAAAATCCTTGAAATTTTGAACTTTTTGAGCATACTTATTCTCACTTCTTTTATACTTAAAGTAGCAATCTACTTGCTTCTTTCAATTACACAACTTCTTAGCATAGACTTTGAACTTTGTTGTTGATGTCTTCCATAGGCATTGGAATACTACTTGTATAGTTGATATTAGGGATATATAAAAAATTTAATTTTAGAGTCTTGACAAGCTTGAAAAGATCTGCAATAATTGCAAATCTATTCTCACTTATACCAAGAGTAGCATTTATAATTTTTTCTTCCATAAACAACTCAAAAAAACCTAAAAGTCAAATTAAAAGAAGATAATTTGCAACCTCTAATATCAATTGAAAGTTTCTACAAAGAAAGATAGTTCATTTTCTTTAAAGAAAAAAAAATGAATGTAAAAAACTAAAAGTGAGTTTGCATGTAGATAGTCTACAACTTTTAAAACACACTAATAGAAGTGAAATAATCTACTCACTTCTAATACAAAACAAAGACAACAAATTAGTATTCTTGTAAAACTGTTAAAAACATAAATCTCAAAAAAAGAAAATCTCAATACACTCTTATGTTACTGAAAAAGACTAGAAAATCACTCAAAGATGGTAATATATTGAACTAAAATGTCTATTGCCAAAAACAAAAAGACTAGAAAGTCTTGAAATAAGACTAAGGACTAGAAAGGCATTGACAAGAATGAAGAAGGTTTCATTCTTGCCTCCATATATATTATCCAACTAAAAGCTATGTAGCAACATCCTATAGGACCTCTAATACATGTCTAATTTATGAGATATGTGTCTTAACTTATAAGGTAAGTTTCTTATATACGTGCCATATTATTAGCTTGCTATCTACATATTATACTGCAAGCTATCTACATGTGCAACATATAGCTAACTTGTTGGCCAAGTTTCTAACCTATCAATCAACTATAAAAATATATATAAAATCAAATATACGTCTATGAAGCTTCTAAGAAGCTTGACTACAAGATAATATCAAATCTACCTATATTTATCTTCTACCTAGCACTTCTTATCTAGATTAATATATCTTCTTGATTGAAAAGAGCTTGTGATTGCTATTGCCTATAATTTCTTCTAAAAAAAATCAATAATTAATTCATATGAGAAGTTGCAAGGCTTGTTGGGTAGATGTAATGTACATGTGGTCTTTGTATAGAAAGCATAATAAGAGCACATGTAGGAACTCCAATAATATCATTAATTTTATTATGTAAGGTTCTAAAATATTCTAAAGGAATTACTAAAATATTCATTTTCTATATGTATTACTTACATTTATTTATATATATGACTATCTATCTATCCATTAATTTAGAATTTTTGTTTATATCTTCATGAGATTCTATCCTTTGAAATAATATTTAAAATCAAATAAGATTTTAGATTTTTTTTTTTAAAAAAATTAATCAAATTAGAATCTAGGTTTGATTTATGATAAATTATTATTTAAATAAAATATATAATTTAGAATTAGATTAAATTAAAAATAAAATTTTTAATTTTTAGATTAGGATTTTAAATTGAAGATGCAAAATTTAGAATATTCAAGAAAAATTTAATATTAATAAATATTTTTACCTCAAATAAAATGTAATCTAAAAAATATTTAAATTCAAATCTAAAAAGTCAAATTTAGTTATCCTATTTCAGATCTTAAGTAAAAAAATTAATATATTTGTAATTCTCAATATATTTATTATCGTTTTTTCTTTTATATGTAATTGAATTTACTATGTAAATATATAATTATTATCCCAATTTTAGTGCAATGTAATATCTAGTAGATGTCAATCATGGATTATAATAATTTGAATGTGTTTTCTTTTAAATATCTCCAACCAGTAAAAATTCTATAAAACATATAATTAGTATTTGTCACTTTTGTATATAGCTTTCGATGCAAAAAAATTTAGGGTTGTAAAGTTTTTAGAATTTAACAACTGTTTTACTGAAAGCTCTACATGTCTTTTCGGTGTTAGCTTCTTTCATACAATATCTCCAAAACTTTTCAATTCTTTACAAAAAATTGAACGAGTATTACCTACCAAATTCCACATTTCTTCATCTGTTTTCATTTATGTGTAAAGAAAGGTTTTATATTATAGAAGAAAAATATCCAATTCATTAACTGGCGTAAACACCACAACTTATATCGAGGACTGCCCTCAACATTCAGACATTTCTTGGAAAGTTTGTAAGAATTGAATGTATGAGAATTCATAAGAAATCAAGAAAGCATAAAAATATGGTCTCACTTCTATCAAGAAATAAGCTGATCTGATTTCAGTTATCACTGTAGTGCAAAATACACAGTTACGTTTATGGTGTATCCAAGACACTAAGGTATTGCACTTATCCTACGCAAACTCTGTGTCCCGCCTATTTTCATGAACCAGCAGACATTCAACAGATCCAATGTGATCAGCCTGCGGACAGAATTTTGAAAATCTTGCTATGATCAAGTATGCGCTGAAATACATCTCCCAGATTTTCGTTTCTGAAAGAGTGTGTTTCAAGCACAGCAATACTTGGAGGACATTCGAAGTCCTCTTCTTGCAACCTGAGAGTTTCGCCAATCGTAATCAAACATCATTGAAAAATTCAAAATCACTGGTGGAGGATATCACACCGTATGGGCTATCTTGCATCTGCAATAACAAATAGTGGAAAGCAGAAGTAGATATCCGTAGCCAAGTAGCATATTCGCACATGTAATTTCACACAAGTTAATGCGCATGCCTGATTGTCAATCAATTACTTGAAGCGATTTAACAGTCTCTATATCTGCCAGTCGTGCTTCATGAGCACTTCGAACGTTCTGAGGTATGAAGAGTTTGTTCATAAATTTTTGAGATGCTGGAACAACAGGTTGCCAATTCACCCGACTACCTCTCAAAGTGCTTGTGGGAGCCAATGGCCTGCAACTCAGAGAGTAATCTTAGTAGATATCAGTTTAAATGAAAAAATGACCTATTAATTTATTTGTATAAGAGGAATCTAAAATAAATTCCTACATAAAACAATGCACAACCTTACATTTCTTGAGTGTATCCAAAACTGCGCTTTAAAAATTAGTTGGAAGCAAAGAACTGCCGATCAATAGAGCAATAGCGTCAATGATCCCCCTCGCCTAAACACCTAAATTAGCAGTCTATGACAAACATGCTTCTCTTCATGCGATAGCTTTCCCAACTCAGCTACGAACTCTGGAGTTACAAGTGGGAATAATTCTTACTGATGGATGGTGGGAAGCATGGATTCCTGGCGATTTCTAATATCCTGCGCTGTGTTTCTACGCACCAAAGCACCAACTTGTTGGGCCATCTCCACTGCTGCCAAATTGAAAGTTTTTTCAACCGGCTTCTGCAACACACAACATTTGTGATGACTGCCAAAGCTAAACTCGAAAAAAGGAATAAAACATCATTTTTTTCGAAAGAGAGCATAAATCAATGCTGCACATATTCTTCATTTTAAAAGCATATCACAGTCTAGGTTTCTCTGAACAATACAAATCCGCTCGGTTAGACCAATTGCAGTTAGCCAAGGTATCCTGAAGTGGTCATCCGATTACGTTGAACAATCTTAAAGTCAAATGGAGTTCATAGTAGAATCTTGGAATACATCGTCAAGAATATAACTACAAAATGACAGCAATTAATTATAGACTAAAACCAACCAGCATTAGATAAAGTTAGATGTGTCTTCACATCTGTTTCTCTTGCAAAGTGTTCTCAATTCCCACCAAGCAAATGACATACGATCACCCTATAATATTGGATGAAATTCCTTGAAAATTCCATCTTGAGGAGGTGAGTACTACTCTTCATCTACATTATACCGGAAAACTGTGAAACTAACTAGAAGTCTCTACGCGAAGTGGAAAAGTGCCAGAGGAGTTTAACCATAGTGAATGCTGCAGTAAAGACAGAAAGAGGTAATCTTTAGCTATAAAAGAGTACAAACAGACCTCACATGTGTGCATTGCAAGATCCTTCTCTGCAAGCGAGTCCCAGTGCTGTCCAAATATCAAACACACCGATCAGAACAAAGCCTACAGTTTAACGATGCAAATACATCCGCCAGGAAGAATAAGAGCTCAAATTATCTTAGTTAATTCCTTTCAATGAACAATTAGAGGAATGTACTTCACAATTATAGTGGTGAAAATCATTAATAAGTAAATTCACCACCATACATGTAAACGAACAGTTTCACAGGATACTGCAGTCATCCCTGTATTTTATAAAGACACACAATTTGTTGAGCCATCTGATGTAACTTCTGCAAGTACCTGACACCACTCGGGCCTCTGATTTACACCTGATGAAGCCAAGGAGATCTGCCGGACGGGCATTCCAGGCGGTTCCACGTTTAATTTCTTGTGTGGAGGAACAGGGCCTGTGGGGGAATACTCATATTGACTACGTTCTTTATTGCGAGCATCGTCTTGCATCTTGGCCACAACCTCCAGATAGCTGCAAGCCGGTTGAGTTGCCGTACCCAAACGTCAACTCAATTCTGCTATAATTCCCTCAAAAAAAGGCATTCTTGCCATTAAATAAGTGTAGAAGAGACTACTCACTTGTACTCCCATGGAGACTTGTTATTCAGTCCCGCATCCAGTGGTTTAAGCATCGGTTTATGGGTCCAAACTGGAACAGGATTTCCTGTCAGCGGGTTATAAATTTGCCGGTGCTCTTCCCTGAAACCTTAAAAATAATACCTAGTTACAACCCGTAGATATTCATCTGACCACAACAGGATTTAGAGCACTTAAACTCCCACAAAATTGCTTTATATCTGCTACAATCAAGTGACAAAATGATACACTAGCAAAAGCTTATAATTTAAGGTACTTAATAATAGGATATAGTTTACACGTTTGCTACACAAACTTATTTTCTGAAAGTGAAGTCCTCTATGCATCAAATTTATCAATTCCAAGTTCAGATTAAAAATGAGACAGTAAGTATTGCAGTACCTACCATGTGCTGGTTTTCTTCCCACGGTGTAGTTGATACTCGAGCACATTCAGCCCCTGGCCCAAGCATGAGGGCATTCCCCAGTAGCCCATGTCGAATCCCAACGGTTTTGGGATATCAATTTGAAACCTGGATATTTTGCAAGTGTAAACTTGTTGAATAATCAAATTCCAGACTGAGAACTTCCAATTCATGCAACTAAGATATATTCTACGGTGACGCTATCTGAGAGTTTTATGCTCGAACTTTCTAGAAGTCTTTTGACTCCATAGAAGCACCTAAAGGAGGGACATAGGAAGAGAATAAGAGGAAAAGGAAAGTTGAAGGAAGCTGGTTAATACAGCGAAATCCAAATGAAGAGGCTAAAGTTACATCATCGATTATTCCTCTATGTCGAACTCGGCGAGGGACACCCTTATCAGAACCCATTACCAACAGCTCTCTCTTGCTGTGCATAGTCCACAACACATACTGCAGATGAATCTTGAAGACAGAAATGATTCAGAATATTAAAAAAATACCCGTCGTTATGTCTCAGTTGTTTCGACAAGTTCAGGTACCTAAAAAACCAGGAAATAAGCCAAGTCAGAAGACCCAAAAACTACTGACCAACTTTGATAACTATTTTACGAGCAACCAGATAGTGACAAAAACCAACACTAGATGGTCTCAACTTTACAAACTACAAAACCAGCTTCGTTTGCAATTCTTTGCTACAACTCGAGATGAAGATTTCAAGATCCTATTGTAGACTAAAATCTTACTCTAATTCAGAGTCCATAAAATATTCAAATTCATTCAGCATTGCCGTATCCTTGAAAGAACATTTTGAAAGGTTCTTCGAAACCCATTTGGCTTAACGTCGAAAAACTTGGCGAGATCGTCCTAATCTAATGAAATTAATCCGGCAAAGGGTGAACACTTACCTAACACTGCCCGTATTATCTGGGTCAATGTATGGTTTAAATCGATTAAACTCATCATCAGTAAGATACAACCCAAAAGTTTCCATTGTGTAACGGAAGGCGTCATAAGTAACCTGTATCCGTGATTCTCATGTTAAAATATATTTGATGATTTTGTATAAACTAATAAATACATGCACTGAAAAGATTTTAAATAGAGTGATATAGATTCCAATGGACAACGTCCTTCCCCATTAGATGCAGAGAGTATGCGATTTGGAAGAATTGAGCGCTGCCGCAACAGTCCTCCTAGATATGTGATAGTGGTAGAGACAATTTACCGCATTATCCTTGGGTTGAGGTTCTCCATTGAGACGACATTGAGCAGGTAGCTGTTCTGCCTTCCAATACATCTGTAACGTTGAAAGTAGCAGTATCATGTACACGAATGTTTTTGGACACACCCGAATTTGAACAATAAAGAATTCTATGATATCAGAAGAAACGCATACACCAATGTTAGAGGTCGTCTTACAGTGTCAAGTGCCTTCTCACAAGGATTAGTTTTTCTTCGCCTTGGGGGTATCCGTTTAAGTTTCAGTCTCCTATGCTCTGTTTTCATACACAAGAATTTGAAAGAAAAGATAAAAATACAGACGTTAAATTTCTTTAAAAAGCATTCTCTTAATGCATTTGATAAATATTCATCAAATCCAGAAATTTATCCACCCAGAAAATGGGCCCTTTAGGCGTTCCACCTATTTGGAACATGTGTGTTATCTTATCACATTATGTCCACAATAGATAATCCAACATGCAATACATAACCAGCGCAACGAGTGCCTTTATAATTGAAAGATGCGTCGTGTTTCAGTGTTTCAACAACGGAAGGGAATTCACTTGTCTCGGGTGTCTCTTCAGGCTCAGTCGGATATATGGGTTCAAGCGGGTTCGATGGTTTCTGGCGAGTAAAGCCCTTGTGTTTCTTCCCAATGTCGATGTCGAAGAGCTCCAGACCAGTGCCATAAAACATCCGATTCCTCCTGTGGAGACCAACTCTTAAGCTGTCATGACCGAAAATCAGTTTACCTCCATATGAGAATAGGATTAGCATTGTCACAACTAAGGTCAAAACTCGGATGCAACTTCACTCAACAAGGTGAAAAATCTTACTCTGAACATAGAGACATTTATGAATGATGTGGAGCACCAAGTAGCAAGCACTCAAATGTTTCACGAGAATCATTCAGAAGGTTTCAGAGGATGATGGGGATTTACATCCATGTCCATTTCTTGGATTTGCACCCTTTCCATGGATCTGGTACTTTCTCTCCTGGTAAAATACACCTGCAAGGCTTTGCATACAATGATTTTGACCTTGATCCCACTATGTCGTCGTTTCGCAGGGCCATACTAGATGTTCGATTTGTCCATTTCTGCATCCAAAGGCGGATGGTGAGTGCATGTAGTTGCCTCCTCTGGACGCGCAGATGAGTTTTCTGTTCGCGTCGGATATACTCAACAAGCAATAAGATTAGGACCGAGACTATCCCTTTTCCCGAAGATGACGCTTCATCCAAGAAAAAGCCACTAGTTTGATCTCGAGTCCCATATCTGAGACATGTCACAGCTCAATCCTGATTCTCTAATCAGCAAAAGCACCATTGGAATCTCCGAAGTTGATTTGGACTTGTGAAGAAAGGAGGATGAGCCATGCTCGAAAACCTATCAGCTCAGACCGGAATGACTAGATTCGAAGCTCATCGCAACACACGAGCAGCTTCCAACTTTTTCTGCTGTCATCTTCGTTCCGGTGCCTTAAGAGATGTATGCATCCCCATTTAAAGAGGTAACGTACAAATATTGTCTGATTGTAATGACCAATTGCCTAGTACAAACCCCATCATGGGCCCGTTTTACTCTCGTCTGAAGATATTTCAAACCCAGAAGCTTTTGAGACATCATATAGTGGATTTTCACGGAGTAGCTTAACTCGATCAATTCTGTCCCTCCTGCGACAGTAACAAAGATCTGTACCATTTGGCAGTAAGGAACATTTCCAGTCCAGAGCCTCCCTTTCCCACCTTCAGTGCAATTCTTTTGCCAAGAAATATAACTTACATGAAACCCTGCTGGTATGTTGGATGGTCCACTTGGTAATATGTATTGAGGATCCAAAGGATTCGTCAGTCTATTGGTCACAAGTGTGCGGCTCGGCTTCAGCACTTTGCCATCAGGTTTAAGCAACCATATGTCGGGAAAAGGTTTGTTTAAACACTGTTCCACACGCACCAATGGAATTAAGACTCCGTTATCATAATGGATCCCAAATTTAAGCACTCCACACAAGTTGCTCCTTATAAAGACCATGCTCTATACCAAATAGAAGTTATGTACTGGAAAAACGTGGGAATATTCATTCATTCCTTTCATCGTTCACTCGCAGTTTCTCCAGAAAAATAAGTGGACAACGGCAATTTTAAAGAAGGAAATCGTAGCATACGGATGCTTTCCCAAATGGCAACTTTATGAAACTTGCTATAACATTGAGCCACTGAGATGGAAGTTTACTTTTCATTAATACAAGAATACAGCTTGATCAGAATTGTTTAGCGCAGGTACATGCTATTACTAACTACAACCAAGTAACTACATACTAACAAGGATGCAGCTCAGATGAGCAATAAAATGATGCAAGCAGTCTCTAAACCAATGTATCAAAACGTTCAATTGGAGGACAGAGAAAGATGTCACTCACCATTGGATCCTTCGGATCTTGTACATTGAATTGATTTGCTTGTCCTCCTTGAATGTCTTCCGTCATAAGATTTCGGGATATACCTGCCGGTGGGCATGGGTAGTATTCTTTGAGCGTCTCGAAAGGCGCAAAATCAAGTAGTGAGTCATAGGGTATTTCCTTTGGATCGGGGTACGGCTCCACGAGCCGAGGCTTTGGAAGTTCTAGATCCATAATTATATTTCCTAGATACGCAGTCCAAAATTCTGTTTAGCTGATCCTCACATTGTCATTGCCAATTCTCCCCACTCCTTTGTCCCTGATTGCGTGTTTAAAAGATACTGTACTCAAATTTCCGAGAAGATTGGGGACGGAAACATGGAGTCTAAAAAACTTAAAAGCATTTTTCTTCAAAAATTGAGGTATGCGCCTGTCACTAGGAGAATTGAAAAGTTTCAGGGAGACACGTTGCGGTTAAAGTTTTGCATAGCCTCTTTCGGGCAAAGAACCTCCTCGTGGAAAGGTGCAACGTCAACCGGATAAGTGCCGCTGACACGATTCACGCGAATATAATCAAATATTTCTGTGGCACTCCTGCATCGTGAAGAATGGCGAAGAGGATATGCAGTGCCTTCCTGAGTACAACTCCCAATCCACGTGATCACTTGGTTACAAATCCCTTGAGCTGGAAAAGCTTGATACGCATGTAAGCTAAGGTCAAGGAGGACAAATCCATGCCTCTTCACTCTTCACGTCTTCATCTTTATTAAATAACAAATCTTCCTGCTGCAAGTCATTTTGTGTGGTCTCGCAGAAGAAGACTTTGTTTCCAAAATCTGGAAAGATAGGAACAACAGCAACATTGAAATTAGAGATGAACCAGTAATTGGGTTTCAAAAGTGAATTCTCATGAAGAACATCTCAATGCCGTCCTGAAACAATCTCACTTAGGTTGATAAATTAGGATGCAATCCGGAACATGACGCAGAAGCGGTGAGAGGATCCGGGCTCCTCTAATTCACATAACCGGAACAGAGAGGTATCCGCTTTCCTATTCAAAAACATCAGGAGAACGCTCCAAAGCGTGAAATACAACCTAGTTGCTCAGCAAAAGATGTAAAACTTGCCACACCCCTAATCTTACCCTTTCGTTTGCTCTTCTCCCATCTCCAAATAATACCTGCAATTTCCCAATGCGAGAAAACAAGAAGCAACATTTCCATGCCATTTCTCTCAGCAGGGCCAATTTTCATCTCATAACTTTCTTCTCTTGCTGAAGATTGTTGTCAAAGCATTAATTTAGCCGAAAGAAGATCTCGTGAATTTTGCCACAGGAAATAGAGACGTCTACAACATGTCAAAAGAGTGCCCAAAAGCCAGAAATTCGTGATCAGTTATTAACGTAAGCTTGCAATCATATCGGCAGTTGCCGCTTAGGTAGTACGAAGTGGAATTCTAGAATGAGACGGCGTGAGTCCTCTATCCTTCGTGAAAACATCAGACAGTGATGGCGCAACTAGGAAGAGCCAGGAGACACAGCATTTCCTAACTATGTTCCGCCCCTGCAGCTCTTGTCCTTACAACCATGATGCAGGGGTTAGAGGAGCGGCTATACAACTTAAATCCAGCTAAAAAGTTCTAAAACCTTGCCATGAAAGAGGTTCACATTGTTGCCATGATCGAATTGGAACCATCCTCTAGAGAAAGTAATTGTACGGTTCCAGGGCAACCGATTCCACGCCTTCCTGTAGAGCAACCCCTTCGCGAGAAAATCCAACATACAGCCCTTCGACCTACTCTGTAAAGTCCTGAATCCGCAGTTTCCACTTACTTCAAATTGTTCATTACAGACAAAAATGGACCGCCAAATCATCCTCTAAGCACCTTCACACATGAGAGTGTCACTAAATCGGCAACGCAAATCAATAGGCATCGAAAGAATTAACGAGGCTTTCCAGATCCCGTTGCGCACTTCACAACTCCCCTGCTCCGCTAACATGGAACCACAATTTCTCCATGCAACAACACAACGACCGTTGTTAAATACATCCTCACGTCCTTTCCTTCCGAGCCACGATCGTGTGCTTCCAACAGCGCGGATTCATGTACAACGCCGTCAATCAGCAGATCCTGTACCGAAATCTGGCACAAGGATGTATCTTAACTTAGAAACACAGTACCAAAGCATTACTCTCACATGGACGGCCATGTATAATTCACACACAACGACTGTGGCCGGAAGCGAACTACAATCAGTTGCATGCATGCATGAGACATCTGAAGCCTGCTTCCATGTGAAGCAGATGAACCTGCCGAACCTGATTCATAACCTGATTCCGAACCTCAATTCGAACCTGGTTCGGAACGAAATTCCGAGCCTGGTGGGACCGAAAATTTCATCCATAATAGGCTCTCGTGAACCGTACTGCGCAATTTGTCATCCACATTCGTTGATTCGTCAGAGTTGAAGGGCATGTATATGTTTTGTTTGTTGGTTAGAACAACCTAAAAATTATAACTTTGCTAGTTACAAGAATAAGAATTCTTAAATTTAAAAATATTCAATTTGGGCAAAACAAGAAGGCACTAATGTTGTGATCAAAGACTTGTTTGAATTATAAATTTTAAGCTCGAAGCTAGTTTCTCCTTGAAAAATTTAACAACCTTATGTAGTCTATAAAATTGATTATATATATTTAAATTAATATGTTGTTTTGAATAAATTTAAATTTAATCTATTTTTTAAAAAAAAATATGCATATATATATATATATATATATATATATATATATAAGCCTTGTTAAAAAAATTAAAATTAAAATTAAAGGATCTATATGGATCTTTTGTTCTTTAGTATTTAAAACAATAACTTTTATGTTTAATTTTTAAAAAAAAATTCAATTTTTTAAAAATTAGTAAATTTTCTAAAATATTCTATTAAATACCATTAAGAGTACAATATTTTTGTCACATGATGCTCTTATATTTTCTAAACTAAAGTTTTCAGTAATATTCTATGAAACTTTAATAATTTTAAAACTTATTTTATATCTTTTGTAAATACAAAATTATCTTCACAAAGTGTTCACTTTATACATTCATAGCATATATACAATGAAAAAATGAAATCTTGGTTTTTTACAATTAATATATTTTTTAATCACATTTTTAATTTTATTCAATTAATTCTTGATGTTTAAAAATAAAATATTTTAATTTAAAGTTTATTTTATTTATTTTTTAAGCATATTTTTAAAAAATAACATACTTTGGGTAGATTGAACTACTGCTATTAATAAGAGACATAAGTTCTTAGCATATTATTACTACTAAGAAATTATGAAACATAAATTTTATTGTAAATAGCATTAATAAAATAAATTTTATTATATGCTCTTATTTAATATTTTAAAAATATATTAATATATCTATTAAAATATTAAATACATATTTAATAATTTTTTAGTAAAAATATTAAATTATATCTATTTTTAGAAATATAAGTAATCACATAAACAATCAAAGCCAAATTCATCAATCTCAACTAAAACAACTATATTTTGTCTAAAATTAACTTATTATTTTGAATTATTTTATCATAATTAAAACAATTTAAGAAGAATTTATCGATTGCACAATCAATAATTAACTAACCAAGAATAATAATAATAATAATAATAACAACAATAATATTTTAAAAACATATTTTTTTCAATTCATAATTAATATAGATATTTATTTACCAAAGTAGTTATTCAATACCACAATCAAGTTCAAGAAAGATCATGACCTCCAAAAAAGATATATTATTTTTAAAAGAATATTAAACAAAACCATACTTTTACTAAATAGATCCACCTTTGATGATCCAATAGTGGAGAAATGAATCTAAAGATCATTATTTTATTTTTCATGATGGTGAAGGTGGATAGATCAATTTGATAAAAACTTGGATCTATTTAATATTCTCTTATTTTTATCTATTATATAAAATACATCAAAGGTGTTATAAATCAACAAGATAATCTAGAGAGTCAAATTAGCCTTTTGATTGGCTATTTTAATAAGCTAGTCTTAAATAAGCTTCATGTGCAATGCACCAAAATAGCCTCTTCTAGAAGGAGGGTCCTTTAGTACATTATGCAATAATGAGGCTTTTTTCCATTGTCTCTCTTGGTAATTACAGTGTCAAAGTAGAGAGAATTTCTTCAAGAAAGTGTTGGACCTTTGGCTGCTATTAATTGCTCAAACAAGTTGCAAGATTATAAAATACAAATATGATTTATAGCTTGTCTTCAAGAAGAGAAATACATCAAATACACAAGTATAGGATATATAAGAGTATCCAAGATGTGACTACATATTCTAAATTCACTTCTATTCTTGTGGAAATCTCTTCTATATATGTATCATTGAATAACTTCTAATCTAACTATCTAGTTGGGTTCAAAATTCTCCACAAGTTAACTTATATCTTTGACTACTTCTATACAAAAATCCAACCATAAATTCATTACAAGTCTTTAGATATCACCTAATCTCTAGCAGGTACAAAGCATATCAATTTCTAGACACCTACGTACTAATTCTTTGATATCTCAAAAATCAAATACTCAAACACCATGAATTTTTCATGTAAAACTTTTTAATATAGTCATCTATATTTATGGAAATTTTGAGCCAAAAATTTGTCCAAAAACTCAAGATATGGCAAAAACCAAAACCTCCATTAAAAATAACTCACTTAAAAATTCTAGTTTTGAATACTAACTTTCAACAGCTCTTTCTTCTTCATTCTAGACTAAAACATTTATATATATATATATATATATATAAAATGTAGTTCTTTAGGTCAACTTTCAAACCTCACTTCCAGATTTCTCAAAGCTTTCTTACAACTCTCTATATGCTCAAAAGAATAGTAATGGGTACCCAAAATCACACCCTAACTTCAAACAATCATAACTCTCTCCTTACAACTCCAAATCATCCATTTCTTTCATCCAAATTCTAGTCCAAAACACAAATTTATGAATCCAATCTCCAAAATTTAAATGGATTGCTTTACTTTGAAGGGTTTGCTTTGTCTCGAATGGATTGCCATAAAGTGGTCCCAAATTCCAGTATAGTCCTAGTTAACATCTTGAAGCCCATTGGGCATGACTTCCAACCAATAGAAATGAAGTCCTCTGTCACTTATCTATCCACATGGAATAGTCTAGAAGTCAAAATATTATACTTTTGACTCCAAAGTCCTTCTAAACTTCTTTCTAATAAATCCTACAACTTCTATTTTTAATTACAAAATTAAAACTACAAACATAAACAAATTACACAAATATTTTATTATACTTTTTATGTTTAATTATATTCCAAACTTTCATAATATTTCACACTATTTTTACATAATATGCTACTTTTTAGTACAACAACGGTGTTCACAATGTATTTACTAATCATGGTGTCTCTCTCTCTGCAACTCTAGTCTTGCACTTGTAGTTTGAGCTCTCCATGGCTTCATGGCTTTGTTGACATGTATCCTAATTTCACATAACATGCCAACAAAGAATAATATTTATTTGGAACAAATAACCAACGCATACTATTTTCAGGCAAGAGAATAGGTTGAAGAAGTCCGGATTCTGAATTTAGCCGTAATGACTGAATGCAAAGAAGCCATGCAGTGTCACAGTAGAAGTGGATCTAAACCCCAAATCCTTCCCATTGTCGGGTTCAAGGCTTAAGTTTGTGTGAGAGTGTCACGATGAATCGCAGCGGCATAGAAGCCATGCTTCGAAATGCGAAACGACGGGATGTTGGCATTGCAAGTGTGCGTCCGTTCCACACGCGATAGGAGGGAGTGCTGCGGCCCTTTTTCTATATTAAGAATCGGCCTCGCATCTGAAACTAACCGACAAAGTAGAAGCATATTCGCCAATTGTGCGTGCAGCGGCGAAACCCCAGGGGACAATGCCCCTCGGCAACTACCGCTTCAACCCATTGATCGTTGCGACTGTCTGTTTACGTGGCTTTGATCGCGTCGGGATTGATCGTCCTCGTCGCTGTTCGATTGTTGCAGGAAGAAGGACTTGTCGGAGATAATAAAGATTTGTATCTCAAACCAGGAGGTTACAGTTTGGTTTTATTTATTTATTTATTTATTTATTTTTCACTGATTTCGTGTTGCGAAATGAGGTGGCATCGGGGGCAGCAGATATGGCTCGGGGCGGCGTCCTTGGTGCCCGGATGGCTCGTGATTCAACAGGTCATCAAGCCTGTGCATGCTGCGCTAGTGCTGGTGTTCCTCTACTTCTTGTCCAAGCGTCACGCACACTTGGTGCAGCGGCAGTTCGAGCGCGAAGCACATGAGAGCAAGGTGCGCGAGGCCGAGGAGAAAGATCGGGTGGCATCGCTGCCCATGCGCAAGCGGCGTGCTATTGAACGGGCCAGGCGGCGCAAGGAAGAGGCAGCGGCCGCGGAAGCCAGTGCAGACAACAGTGATTCCAAGGAAGAGTAGGGCCACGAGGACTATGGCCACTCGGCAATTCTTGCCAAAATTATTGTTTAGCAATCAGTTCACTAGAACGTTCCATTAGGGAACTATAGATTTTATCTTTTTGTTTGTGGTCTGCCTCCCTTTCACGCGAATACAAACCTTACATTGTTAGGTTTCCCAGATCTGCTCCGAACTTGTGACTTGCTCACAACCGAAACCTAGGGTTTAAGGCCGCCAGCGGAGCAATCTGGGGTGGGGTTGGTCTTTCCATTATTCTTCCTGTGTGGTGCTTCAAACGGGCACGTGAGTCGCCCGGAGATCACTGTACTCTAGCATCGCAAGCGAATCCAGAAATGGATGGTAGACGCGAAACTTGTACACTACCAGTTTCAGATAAACTGAAAAAATGTTCTCCACATCATGCTGAATACTCCGTGTGTCAACCAGTTATTTTGAGATGTGAACATCTTGACTTCATTCAACTAACAGTAATTTAGTACAACTACTTCTACTGGTTAGGGATCCTCCTGAATGGTCACAATTTATTAAAGGCTGATGAGATAGTTCGTAGTTTTCAGCTTCTTTCAAGAGATTTTGTTCGATGTATAAAATTTGTGAGCTTCTTCCAACAGCAGTGCTAATGAACAAAATGTAGCATGCACCGATTCAAAGCAAGACACAACTAACCTTAAGAACTCCAAAGTTTCAATCAGAATCAGCTACTACAATTACGTGGTCTGCAATATTGTAAGAGCTGCCTACTCAATCCAAGAACAAGCTGGGATGAACACCTTACTTTCTCGATTAGGAATATATCAGGGTCTCTTCTTAGTAGTTGCGACAAAAGCTTCTGCGACTGTGTAAAATCGTGAAATGAGGTGAACGCAGAAATTGCTTTCCAGTGTATACAGGTTCACAATCACCGCTGAAGTACAAAGTACTGTCGCTTGCGACATAAACCCCCGACAACGGGTAAAAATAATAAATAGTGGGTGTTCCCATTTCATGAACAGGTCCTAATCAAGAAAATTACCATCTCATGAAGAGCATTTGTGTGAGTTAGAAGCACAAACTCAACGCAGCCCCTAACTCAAAGGTTGTAACCTCACAAAATCTACACACATTTTTCCAAGTGCCATCCTACAAACACCTAGATAGTCTAATCTAACTTCATGATACATAGGCGTGTGGAATGGTAGATCCTCACATTGCTTTGTTCGATTTAAGAAGTAGCCTAACTTTACAATGATCTAGCAGTTTCAACTCGCCACAAGAATGTTGGTGCTCAGCATTTCCTCCACGTGCGCAGCATACAGGAAAGCGAATAACGGTCAATCTCATCAAAGCTTCAATAGTGTAAACAGGGGTGTCTCATTCAAAGACGTCTTACAATCAATCACAACTTCAGTTTAATACGTTCTGACCATTCGCGTAGGTCTGAGAATATTCGGTTGCCACCAATATCTTCACCGGTCATTCCTGCAGCAACCTTCAATATATCTTCAATCAAAGCAAAATTGCCCATTATGTCAACGTGAGCCCCACTTTGTGTACCACGCCCCTCCAGCAAGTTCGAAGGGGGGGCATGTTTATATTCTCTTACGTAACTTGGACTTCCGCCAGGGTTGAACTTTGTCTTTCCTTTCCACGGTGCGTGACAAAGGTACCCAGCACTCAGCGCTGGAACGGTTTCATCTCCATCCACGAACTGTACGCCACCTTTCAAACAACCCTCTGAACCCCCATCGGCCGATGTATCAATGCGGAAGGGTATGTAGCAATTGTCTGCAGAGGGCGACACTTTGTAAATATAAGACCTTTCTGTGGGAATGCCCACACCATAGAGACAGTAGACCTCCATATCTGGCGCATTGGGTAGCCTGCAAAACTCAAAAGAATCAGGAAATTTCACCAAATCTGAATCAGATGAAAGAAACATACAGGTCGTAAAGATGTGAACATTAGTTGACCTGAACAGCCTTCGCACATGACGAATGGAGTGCTTTTAGAAACAGGAAGAAAAATAGGCTTGTTACAATCGGCTTCAAATAAAGGGTCTATAGCCGCCAGTAAGATATAAACAAAGAGTAGGGCAAGATCAGTGACTCACGTGGTTTCAAGAGGATTTGCCCAGTATCGATAATGCTGATACTTTTCGTCACTCGGATCATCAGCAATATTAAAACTCCAATTGTCCTCGCCGCGAGCCATGAGCTTTGGAGCTACCTTCCTCAGTACTTCAACAAGGTCATCAGCATTGAAGATTTCGCGGCTGGCTATCTCTTCCACATCATCCCAAGTAAGTTCTTGATATTCCGTCCACACATCCCCACAGGCTGTGGTGTTCCGCAATGTAGTGTTTGTTGGCGTCTAATCAAACAATGAATCTTTCATTAGAGCTCACCTCACACATCTCCAAAATCAGCGCCAGAGCGGGTCCAGGATAAGGTGAGGTAAGCACCTTAAGTAATGTAATGTAAGAACAATCTCTGAACCAACGTCAAGCGGTTTACATCATGGTGATAGATGAATCATGCAGGTTGAGTAAAGCAACTGCCTATCTTACCTAACTCATGAGAGAAATTAATCTAAACATCTAACATTCATGTGCAACGGCAGGCCGCAGCTGGACCTGTAATAACGGCAGCAAGGATGTACAATCTACAGTACGCCTAACCTGTCATTCACACGCCCCGAAATTGCTTTGAAGATTTCATTAAAAATACACACCAAAGAGTGAAGGAAGGATACCTTGATCTCCTTCTTTCGGTTGACAATGACTTCATGGGACATTGCAGCAGCCTCTTTGCCGAAGGCAACCATACGTCCATAGTGGGCAGAGGGTTTCCCATGTGCCCCAACCTGCACCCCGGATTCAGTTTGGCCCTTCACCAACCCATCTGCAGCGTCATCTGATTTCTTCGTGGAGCAATCGTAGCCTTCTTCTGGTGACCAAGAAGCATCACCCCAGATAGTTTTGCCACCTTTTGGGAGCATGGACAAGCAAGAGTCCCAAGTACGTGTCACCTTCATGATGTACTGGAGCGTTTGCAGCCCAAAGATGTCATTGTCTAAGACTCCTGGCGCGATTGCCCTGTTCACAAATAGAAAACCGTGTATGACAAACCAAATCTTGATGAGACCACATCTCATCCCGTTTATGACATAGAAATACAGTGGAGTATCCACAGCAAAAAACTGCGATTCGTACCTGGCGACAGCAATGTCCTTGGCTTCTGCAGAGAAGATGCCTGCAAAAGCTTTGGGCACGCCCAGAAAAGGCCCAGCAATGTTCATGGTTGCTTTGATATGACGAGCTACCCAATCAGGTCCGCCTCCACCACCCATGGGGGCGGGCGCTTCAACCCATTTCAAGAAGTGCAAGAAATAAAGGGAGCCCATAGAATGCGGTATTACTACAGCCTTGTTACCACTGGTCCGTACCATTGACTCGATTGTGCTTTTCAACCTGCTTAGTGATTGATCTCGTACCTGGCCAGCGTTACACCAATATAAGAGTTGGTGCAAACATTCCACATAAAATTATATCTCAGCTAAGTAAACTACACACTCCCACTCAATATGCCAATTTTATTCGAAACATCTCACATGCTATTCACCATGAGTATTCTCTAAATGATATTAAGAAATATGCACAGCTACACATTTCAACGCAACTTGTTCTCTGAAGTAAGAGAAAAACAGTATTGACAAGTAAGATACGAATAGTTTGGAACGTCCGATTAAAATCACAAAACAGTGAAATATTACAGTGCGTAGACAGTAGTCTTTTTTGCAGACTCAAAAACTCCAATACAATACACAACGTTGGGCTTTGAGCAAATAGAAAAGAAGAGGACCTCAGTGTTTTGAAAGGTAAGTCGCCAATCGTAAGAAGCCATGTACATATTTTTCTCCTCGTAACCAATACGCGCGAGGTTCTCGATCAATACAGCCCACACAAAGTAGCCAGGAGCGAAGTAATCAGCTGCAACAAGACCAGACACTGGTCGTACCCTAATACCTTCCGGATCTAACCCTGTCTCGTTGTCGAGAGACATGTGCTCCATCCAGCATCTCGGCCTATCACACGACAGTTACACGTTGTCAAATTTCTTCACCGCTCTACATTCACAAAGCAATTACCGGTAGAGGTTTCCTTCTGTAAATGAGCTTCGTGCTCTGTTCAAAATGGAAAAAGAAAAAGAAAAGCTAACTGGCAAGTTAAATCGCACTCCACATCGAGCATGATTATTTATGTTGAAACAGAATCATTATCTCAAAGGTAACTGCAGCTATGTAACTCAACGCACTTAACCCTAACAAGATCTTGCTTTGACATTCCTGCATTATCTGAAATACAGATGACCCAGAAACTTCGAATTTGAATCAGGCGTCAAGGAAGAACCCGTACAGTTTATCTAAGTGAAACCTGAAACAATGTTTTTGAAACCGAAACAAAATAAATAAATAAATAATGTATGCAGTGTGTCTCACCTCTTGTAAATCTCCCCAAATGTCCCACCCCAGAGACGTTTGCGGAAGAGTCCGTCCGCACAAGGCTTTCCTTCCCAGAGTTCCAACCCTCCCGTAACAATACCAGGAACGAATACCACAGGATGCTTCACATGAACCCCTTGCTTCTTCAGGGTCACACCCGGGGGATCAGGAAGGGGACCAGTAATTCTCTCCGTCACGTACTGCGGCAGCGAGTGGGGCAATGCATTGTAAAAAACAACCAAAATCCACCAAGTCACACAGATATAACCCACTAACCAGCAGCACGAATCCACACAACCCCACGACGAAGATTTAGATTTAGATTTCTTTTTATGCTTCTTGTGCTGCTGCTTCTCCACTTTACTCACATCACTGTCAGAGTCTTTCAATTTCTCAGTCTCTCGCTCTTTCTCTCTCTTCTGATTCCCCGACGACGCTGGGGTACCGTCCTCCTCCTCCACCGACTTGTTCCCTTTCCGACGATTCATGGTGACCCCCAACCTCACCACCCCCCCCCCCCCTCAACTCCTTCCCAATTCCTCCTCACACTATTCCTGAAGCTGAAATTCTACAAAACATACCTACACCACCCCTCCAAAAAAAAACAAAAACAAACTCACGAATCACAAATCAACTGAGCTGCTGCTGCTGCTGCTGCTGCTGCAGGCAAACCCTACGAAGGATCAGAGAGAAGGGGAAGGGCGTTCGTTACCAACGCCATGTGCACCACAAAAGGCACACCCGTAAGCTAGAGAGAGAGAGAGGGGGGGGGGAAAGGAGAATGAAGTAGAGAAAGGGAGGAGGAGCAGGAGAGGGGAAATAAGTAAACGACACAGCGAGGTTCTAGAAACCCTCCTGTGCGAGGAGAGGAGAGGAGCAAAGGAAGTCTGTGGTAGGGGAGGGAGGAGAGGGGGGTCATCGAGAGTGACGATGGAGCCAGTTCCTCCTTCCCTTCCTTGCTTTGCTTAGCTTTGCTTTGCATGAAAAAGACGCAAAGCGGTGACATATCATAACAAATCATAAATTTGTAGCCATTCTGTGGAGCCCCCCCTCTCCGCTTCAGTGGATGGAATGCAAAGCCAAGCCAAGCCAATCCAATGGATTGCCTGCGCCTTCCTTCCTTGCGACACGTGCCCCCACGTCCCCCGAAGTAGATTCTCGTTCCCTATGTTCTCATAGTTCCCATACGTTCCCCCGCCAAGTGGTTCTCTTTCGTTCCCCCTCTCCTGATGGTTCTCTTTCCAGGCTTGTTCGTGCGTGCCTGGTGCTGTTGGCTTATGAGTCCCGTGTCTGTCTGTCCAGGTGGGGCACCCTTTGCCCGTGCGGATGGATGGATTGCACCACGAGTTGGTCCCCCTTCCCTTCTCGGTTGGTTCTCCGCCAATCCTGTTCAGCCAGCCATTCGTGTTTTAGTTTTTAGTGTTCCTTGAATTGTGGTGCAGATTTGTATTGCGAAGGGCATGGTGAATATGTTGTTTTGCTTCTCTTGAATCTTTTTATTTTATGAATAGATATTTATTACACTTGTGTTGAATATAGTGGGGGAATAAGTAGGTCTAATTACAATATCTAGTAAATTTTCTGGGATATTATTAGAATGTTTTTATTTAAAATATATATATATATATATATATATATATATATATTTTGGTTAATCACAAAGTTACATTACATGATTTTAAACCAAGATGATTGATATTATGAAATTCACTAGTACATGTAAAATAATAAAGTAAGGAGTGTTTGTCTACTTCATCTATCCATATATCTATTCAAATTGTATTGTTTTATTACACATCAATGACTTTCTTCAGTTTACTACCTTCAAAGTAATCCAAGGAGCCCCAACCTCTAGCATGTGTGTATATATGTATATATATATATATATATATATATATGTAGATGTTAATAGATCAAAATTTCACTAAATAATTGTCATATAATAATTAAAAAAATAAATAACCTTGACTTAGGAATATAATTCTAATACTATTATCTTAAGGAAATCATTAAATTCTTTATATAAAGATTTACATTTTTTAATTTGTTGAGGTATTATTTTTCTTTACCTTTTTATAATTCTAACTTCATTCTATGCTTACTGAAAATATAATTAAAAATAATAAAATTTTGAGTACTTGATATACTTATCCAATTTTTAATTTAAAATTATGAAATAAACATTAGTGATGTATCTCATAAGAGAAAATCCATCCTGCCTCAACATGTGAGACAAAACCTCAAACATCGGGAATTGGATCTATATTGTACATGGAGACTATAAACCAACTTTGTAGGAAAAAAAGAAAATATAAGAGAGATTAAATTTAACCCGATTATTTCTGAACACCTTTTTCTTTTCTTTTTTCTTTTTTTTTCATTGAAAATGTTTCTCAATGAACATTTTATTTGCATGGCCAGACGATGGATGATAAGAATAAAAACCGACGACATTCATCCAAGACGGAAATAGCGATGCGCATCTTCGGCGTCGTGAAAAGATTCCACTCGCGCTTTGTTGATCTCTCTCATTTAGGGATGGCATCACACCTGCAGCTGCAGATGAGCACCGCTGAATCGCATTCTTGCTGCTGATTCCCTGTCTACGCGAACTCGAATGAACAATCAGCAGCTTTAGCACACTCACTTGCGGTGCATTTGTGGCCACGTTTTGGTTGATCATGTAGCCGCATGCCGCATTGCTAAGGGGTTGTGTGTTTCCATGCTTCGGAATTCATACAACACGCAGAGTTTACGTTGCTTTCACAATATCAGACCTCACGCACATTAACAATTAGGTTTGAGTTGCTGCGAGAGAGAGGCGACTGTAGAGCCAGAGTGAGGTTTGAGTGAGGAGATATATTGGAGATCCGCCTGAATCTGCTCCTTATTGAGCCCATCCGAGTTCTGGAGAAGTGAAACGGCTGGAATTGCGGTTGACAGGTGTTACTTACATACATATATATATATATATATATGTATAGACACATACACACACACTCACCATGATGGCCTCAGCTTGAAGTCTCAAATACGCAGTAGCAGAGCAAAAGGTAACGATTCTTTCTCCTTCGCAGATTTATTAAGCTTTCTTTAGCTTTTACTACGGAAGCTCTTGACATTGACACTTCTAAATCTGTGCGAATACCGTGAGCCTATCTTGTATGTGCTATGTGCATGTAAGAAACATGCAATGATGCATATGGCGACTTACATGTGCTCTGAAATCCTTGGTGATTGCGTAATTTTTGGTCGGACCGGTTCCTACGTTTTAAATTTGAATAGTTTTTAGATGAAAACTTAACAATCATTGGTGATTGTGGTATTCTGATAGCACCTGCTTGAGAATGCCGGTGAGAGCTCCACATTCTACACAGCGTTGGTTGGGTGACAGAGATCGGGCCTCCAAGTAATCTAGAGCATTGTAACACTGAAGCCTTTAAAATTGTAGAAAAATAAAAATTAGGTGCAAATAACAGTCAATTTCATTTGTTTAGGGGTACATGGTGGTAGAGTAATAAGATTAAATTAGGGTTTTAAGCATGGCAACTTCTGCCAAAACATGTGAGTTCAATAAAAGCATTTGAAGCTAAGGACAAGTGACCAAGAATTGAGAATTATGGATGTAACAAAAAAAAGATAGTAGAGGCATTTGGCATTAATAGAAAAGGAGAGGACTTCATTCAACCAAAGCAACCTCTAATGAGTTGTTTATAAAGGACTTTTTATACATTTATATAAGTTTTTTAGTATAATTTTTTAAAGATATGATTTATGTCATAATGATGTTATTAGAAGTGTATATATATATATATATATATATATATAATTACATCGGCTTTTATTAAATTGATCTGCCTAACAAAATCATTATTACATTCCTTATTTCTCATCTTTGTTTTCTTTGTTTTTAGTTGTTGTCCTTGTTCTTAGCTTCCTCCCCCAACTTCATTCCATATTATATATATATATATATATATATATATATACATAAATTACCCAAATAATAAGTTTTTAAATAGGAGATAAATGTGGGTAGATTTAATAATATCTTGTGGAGAAGTTTTATAAACACAAATTTGACTTTATATGTATTTGTAGTTGATTATTAGGTTGGAAACTTAACTAACAAGTTAGTCATATGTCACATATGTTGGTGACTTGTGATATAAGTTGGCTATGTAACATACATATAAGAAACTTGTCTTATAAATTAAATACATATCTAGCACGTTGGATACATATTTGAAGTCTTATAAAATATTTCCACATAGCTCTTAATAAAGTCTTTTTTATTCTTATCAATGTCTTTCTAATCTTTAGTCTTATTTTAAGAGTCTTTAGTTTTTTTTGTCTTTAGAAATATCTATTCTAATTCAATATTATATAATTTAAATAATTATCTATTCTTTTTAGTAATAAAAGAGTATATTGACTTTTTGATTCTTTGTAATTCATGTCTTTAACACTCCTCCTATCCCTTGTCCCAAGTAATTGTCATTGTCTCCTTTTATTTTATTTTTATTTTATTAAAATAAATTCGTTTTAGTTTATTATTTAAGAAGATTTTATATTAATAGAAATAATACTAAGCAATAAAAGAGTCATGAAGAAACAATGAAATTACATGGAATTTTTTTTTCTTTTCAATTTGGATGCTATATCTTATTTTAGTTGCATCAAAAGCATAGTATCTATCATACAAAGAGCTAACCTTACATAATTTATTTACAAACATAACTTTTGAATCTTCCTACCATTTGTGATAAGAAGGCTATTTCTACACTCTAATACAAAACAACAACGTTCTTGAGAGGAATATTATTGCCAATCTTCAACCCTTAGAATCATTTTCAAAACACTTTCTCATCTTAAATTTATAAATTCTTAAGGAAAATTGCTAGAAACAAGTATAAAAAGCTTGGACTTTCTTTTGAACTCTACCAACAAATGTTGCCATAAAAAATCTCTCCAAGCCTACAAAAGAGACAATTTTTTAATTCTACAAATTTGATAAAAATGGATAGATACAACTGCACAGTTTGTCACAACAACACTGATCATAATCCATTTTAGTTGCCAATTAGGAACACACTTCTCATCTCATCTTTTTTTCTCTTTTCTATTGGCCTTAAATTTCAAAAGCCCATAAAATTTCCAATCCAAAATCTACAACTCAAAAAATAATAGTCCAAAAATTAACACATGAACATAGTTGTATATATACAATTTAATGAAATTCATGTCTATACCTTAACTTCTATTTATTGAAATCCAAACTATAATATTTGGACATTCTAAAAAAGAAGATGGAAATCATATTGTATTATAAGACTTAAAAGATGCATCTAAAGAATACAAAATAATAAAAACCAATATGATATAATATAATCACAAATTCTATTTTTTCACATATTTAATTAATCATCTATCACAAGCTTTGCAATACAATAAGCATTGTTGAAAGAAATAAGTTTCTAATTATATTTCAAAATGTACTTCAATTGATTTGTGTAGTTATTGTTGATTTAGATGTAGCAAGAAATAAAGCCTCTAATATTAAATTTAGATACAATACAAACAAATTTATTAAATACTTCAAAAAGATTCTACTTAAAATTGGAGCCTCTGATATGCTTAGTTGGTATCTTTGAAATGTTAGAAACAAAGTTGGTTATATAATGATATTGAAATTCTTGCACTTCAATAAAGCGTGATTGAAATAGATTTCTACAAGTCTATAAGGAACTAAAATGAGAAACAAAAATAAGAAGGGAAGACAAAGAGAACAAGGGACAAGTACATAGAGAGGAACAAATGTGAGATAAGAATTGGAAACAAAGATTGTATGGATGAATGTCATGGATATAGATATTTACATAGATTAGAAGTGTTAGGTAGAAGATAAATGTAGATAGATTTGATGATATTTTGTAGCAAAACTTTCAAAAGCTTCATAAATATGTATTTGATTTTAGACATATTTATAGTTGATCGATAGATTAGAAACTTGGCCAACAAATTAGTCAAATATTACACGTATTAGTAGCTTCTAGAATAAGCTAATTAAATAGCTTACATATAAGAAACTTGTCTTATAAGTTAAATATGTATCTTATAAATTGGACACATGTTGGAGGACTTATAGAATGTTGCAATGTAGTTCTTAATTAGATAATATATATGGAAGCAAGAATGAAACCTTCTTCATTCTTATCATTGCTTTTCTTATTTTTAGTCTTATTTCAAGAGTCTATACTCTTCTTATTTTTTACAATAGCTATTCTAGTCTTAATACTATAATATTTTTGAAATAAATATTTATTCTTTTTGAATTAAATAAGAATGACTCAAAATTCTTCTTATTTTGATTTATTTCTTTGATAAGGAAGGAAATTGAAAATAAGAATGAAGATTGAGAACAAAGACAGAGGCTAGAAATGGAATAAATGGAGACAAGAAAAAGAAAGTATATAAAAAGTTTTGGTTAATTCAGTCAATTTAATAAAAGTTGGGATTAATTTTATATTCTCTTACATATTGTTAAGGACATATATATTTAATTCAATAATTATTTAGATAATATAAATAAATAGAAGTAGATAAAAGTATATTAATTTAATAATATCTTACAAAGAAACTACTTAAAAGCTTCATATATGTGATTTCATCTTTATGCTTGTCTAAACATGATTGATAGGTTAAATACTTGGCCAACATGTTAGCCACATATCATATGTATTGATAGCTTGTGATACAAGTTAATCATGTAGTGCTTATATAAAAAATTTGCATTACAAGTTAAGACATGTATCTTGCAAATTAGATACATGTTAGAGGTCCCATAAAATGTGACTATGTAGCTCTTAATTAGATAGTATATGTAAAGATAAGAATGAAATCTTCTTTACTTTTGTCAACTCCTCTTTTGCTTCTACTTTAGTTTCAAGGACCTTTAGTTTTTTTGTCTTTTGGCAATAGCCATTCTAGTTTCTTTTTAAATATGCATACTTTCTTATTTTTATTTTTTCATCTTTTTTTGAAAAAATTATTACTAGTTTATTTGCCTTTTTCAAGTTTTTATTCTTAATAAATTGATAGGAATATACTTATAATATCAAAGCTTTGTCCTTTCTTGATTAATAATAGATTTATTTTTTTTCAATAAGATATAAGCATATTAGAAGTTATGGATTATTTACTTCTAAATATATATTATTTTTAGAATTTCTTTTATTTATTAATATTTCATTCTATTTATTTTGAAAGATATTAATTATTTATTTTTTATTTTTTAATATTTTTATGAATATACAATACAAGAAATCAAATAAAAATTTAATGGATGAATTTTAACAAGAAAGGTAAGAAGAACTTGATTAAATTAGATGAATACAAGATCAACACTAAGAAATATGAAATAGAACTCCAAAAGATGTATTATTGAGACTAAGGATCTCTTTAGCGTTGACTCCAATATATATTAGGTATTAAAAAGCTCTTTAAGAAGTTTCCATGCTGCTTAAAGATGAAGCAATCTTAGGAAGCTTTCCAAATAACTTCTTTAATCTTCTTAGAATTTTCTTAAATCTAATAGAATATTTAAGAACTATTTAAAATCTTTTAAAATATTCTAAGAATATTTCAAGAATCTTATGGAATCATTAAAAATCTAATAAAATATTCTAATAATATTTCCATTTTTTTTTTGTTGCACATCTATAATATCACCTCTCCTTCTAGCTTCAAATTCTACAAAGAGCATTAGTTTTATATCTATTTTTTATTATATACAACATCGTAACATTAGATTCATATAAATTTTATCCTAAAATAGGTTTAGATTTTTGATAATAGCATTGATGAATCTCTTATATCTTTTATAGTACATTAATTAGATTTTTTGCTAATTCTCACATACACTCATTGATATTGTAGCAATGCCAATGAATAAAATACTCTAACTTTTGTCTTCTTTGTCAAAAATCAAGGATCTTTTTTACTTCATATTCCATATAATTATCTTCTTGAAATAATTGATTTTAAAATAAGCTTCTAAGAAAGAAATATAAAAGATTAGATGTACCTTCATAGATGTAGGTAATTCTAATCAATAATCCACTAGATTTATTTGTTTTTAAATACAAAAATTACTATTTTTTAGTAATCCAACTTATTATAAGGCTGATTGGACTTCATAATTTATCAAAGAAGCCATATTTAATCTTTAACTTGAAAAGTGAAAAATATTTTTTTAAATTTTTTTGAAGATGCTTTATTCAAAGCATCTTGACCTACTTGTAAATAGAGCTTCATAGTTGTTTGGAGCTATGAAAATTATTTTGCAAGATCTTTGGTTGTTGGATTTTCATCCTTTGATGTATCTAACAAATTAAACTTTGGATAGTAACCATAATTAGAATAAAGTGGTGTTTTTTGAATTGAAATATAAAAAATATTATTATAAGCAAACTTTGTTAAAGATAAATATGAGATCTAATCATCTTCTTGATAATTGATGGTATATCATAAATAATACTTTAAAACTTGATTGACTTGTTCTATGTGACCATCTATTTGAAAATAGAAGATAGAAAAAAAATTTGATATCTACCTTCAATATTTCAAAAAACAATATTTCTAAAAATTTGATATAAATTGAGATCCTTGATAAAAAAATGACAACATCATGTAGGCTATAATATCAATATATATTATCAAGAAAGAG